CGAGACTCCTCCCCTCCGCGGCCCGCGGAGGCCAGCCCGGGCTGTAGGGGTCACGGCTGGAGGCGCTGGCCTGAAACCCACCCAGGAACCTGCCACCGCGACGACGCAGGTCACCCGGCATCTGGCACAAAGGACTTTAGGCTTTGCGTTCAAGTTTGACTTTCTATTACTGATTTGTTTCCTACCCCCAGTCACTGCAAGAATTTTCTGACGTTTGAAAGGTTTATGAATTGAAGTTTGTGAGAGCACCTGGTGCATTCCAGTACCGGAGTGCCTCGGCGTGGTGGGAGTGCCTGTCTAGGTCTCCCAACAGCCCGTTTCCTATTGGGCTGGCCTACTTTACGCGGGGAGTAACTTTCCTAACCCAGACGTGCTTTAAATTTCCCACATTCCATGACCAAAACAAGTGTGATTCAAACTTGTGAGTGCTGAAATAATAAAGTAGTATGGATTTTTTTTAGTTTTTATGAAAAATTTTATAAGTACAAAAAAAGCCTGTACCTAATTAATGTATACAACCTGATGAGTCTTCGGGATCACAATCTATGCTATAAATCAATCTGTCCATCACCTCAAAAAGTTTCCTCCCACCTTATTTATTGTTATTTGTTATTATATTTTGTGATAAGAACACTTCGTATAAGCTAGGCCTTCTCAGCGTATCCCAATAGACAATGTGCTGTGCTGTACTGTGGAGTTCTAGGACTTGCATAACTGAAACTTGGTACCCTTTGACTAATACTCCCTGTTCCCGCTTCCCCTTGGCAACCACCATTTCAACTCTCTGCTTTTATGAATTTGACTATTTCAGATTCATCATATAAATGGTGTCATGTAGCATTTGTTGTTCTGACATTTCATGAATGCAGTAGTATACGTTTTCTTGGTTTTTAAAACCCTAGTCGCCAGTACAAGAAAACATTGTAGCCCATTCACCCAGGTGTTTTGTTTTGGTTTGGTTTAAAGCCAGAGTACCCCTGAAAGGTGTAGAAATCAGAGACGTGATATGGCATGCTTGTTCACTAAAAACCATATATAAATAAACTAGGGTCCCAATGCATGAATTTGTGCACCTTGAAAGGAACTGTGGGCCAAGAGACTGCGGTGGGCACAGGGGCAGGTCTCAGCCCATCCTCTGCGCCCCCGCCTGGCTCCTCCCACCATGGTCTCCGCCCCCTGTCTTCCAGCAGCCCCACTCCCACTGCCACCACTCGGCTGCCACCGCTCCACCGTCACCGCTCCCACACGCGGATGGTGCCAGCCCCACTCGCACCGCTGACAGTGTTGAGAAATTGGGGCCAGCGCCAGCAGCGGGTGTGAGTGGGGCTGGCGCCATCAGTGGGTGTGAGCGGTGGCTGCTGCCCCAAATGCCCCTCAGGAGCAGGGGGAGGTGGAGAAGCCCTCAGAGGCGATCAGGGCTGGCAGTCGCCGCTTGTACCTGCTGACTGCACTGAACAATCGGGACTGGCACTGGGCGCTAGCAGTGGGTGCGAGTCCTGGGCAGGACCGTGGTTCACAGGAGCAAAGAATTTCCAGTAACCACCAGAGGCTTGCCCTAATGACAGCCACCGGTGCCCTGCCTTGGTCTTGTGCCCCTGCTCACCTGCTCCAACTTCCAGCCTCGATTGACATCCGCCATGTTCCGCATGGGCCCCCTGGTGGTCAGTGCACATCATAGTGACTGGTTGTTCAGTTGTTCTGCCATTTGGTCTATTTGCATATTAGCCTTTTATTATATACTAGAGGTCTATTGCACGAAGAGAATTTTCTTCCAGCACCCGGGACCCGGGCCTTCGCTCCAGCTGGAGCCTTCAGTTTTTATGGCTCCGCCACTTCACCCCCACATATACAAATTAACTGCCATCTTTGCTGGGTTAATTTGCATACTCTCCTGATTGGCTGGTGAGTGTAGTGGAGGGATGGTTAATTTACATGTTTGTTTATTATTAGGTAAGACTAGAGGCCTGATGAACAAAATTTGTGCAAGAGTAGGCCTTCCTTCCCCCGGCTGCCGGCACTGGCTTCCCTCCGGCAACCAGGACCCAGGCTTCCCTTGCAGTCCGGCCTTTGTCCGGAAGATTGTCCAGAAGGTTGGGCTGTCCAGTCTAATTAGCATATTATGTTTTTATTATTATAGAGGATGAAATCAAAAGGAAATGTCCAAGGCAGTTTTGACTTGGGAAGGGGAAGACATGTATCTTAGGGTCATCCCACCGCTGGCACTGGAGTGCTGGAGGAGGAGAGGGTTGTTTATGAGCAGACTGACCGTCTGGAAGCTCCAGGTCACGTCAGCACCAGCTGGTGGCTATGGAGCCTCTCTGCCACCCACAGCTGCCTCCTAGAAGCACTTCAGCTTCTATTAACTCAGTGGTTCTCAACCTTGGCTGCACATTAGAATCACCTGAGAATCTTTTTAAAATCCTGATTTCTGGGCCTCATCCTCCGGAAATTCTGTTTCTTTGTTACTAATGTTGTGGCCCCATCCCATAACAAAGAAACAGAATTTCTGGAGGATGAGGTCCAGAAATCAGGATTTTAAGAAGATCCCCAGGTGATTCTAATGTGCAGCCAAGGTTGAGAACCACTGTACTAACTGCAGCCACGCCCAAGGCACTCCCCCTAATTTGTTCTGGCTCCATTTAACCCGCCCAAGTTAAACCCACCCACTTTCCCTCAGTTGGGTTTATCTCAGACTATCCCTCAAGATTGACTGTGTTCTCTTTTGCAAATCTTCCCTCCTTCCCTGAAAGTCTGGGAGAACAGGGAAAAGCTAGAATAATACATTAGAATAAGACAAGTGAAGTTCCCAATTCTAGGAGAGAGTCTCCATTGAAGGCCCACTCACTTACCAGGAAGCCTGGGAACCAAGGAAGAGTACGAAACGATCTGTTTCTTCCAGCTAGAAGGCCCAGGGAATAATTTATCTTCTCACAAAATGTTAAATGACTACCAGATGTCTCCCCCACTGTACTGTGACCAAAGCAGGCCCTATCCCTAAGGCCTATCCAGAGAGAGGATTATTCACGGTCTTTCTGGGGATAAAAGTGGGTGTGAGCCAGTAAGAGTAATTACCGAATTACAGTTCTAAATTATATTTCTCACCCTGACTGGTTTGGCTCAGTGGATAGAGCATCGGCCTGTGGACTGAAGGGTTCAAGGTTCGATTTCGGTCAAGGGCATGTACCTTGGTTGTGGGCACATCCCCAATGGGGGGTGTGCAAGAGGCAGCTGATCATTGTTTCTCTCTGATTGATGTTCCTAACTATCCCTCTCCCTTCCTCTCTACAAAATCAATAAAAAATGTATTTTTTTTAAAAAGAATTTTTCTAAAAAATAGGTCTCAAGGAAAATGCTTGTAATAGTCATATTTCTTCAATAGTCACTATTCTTGCTAAGTGAGAAGGCATCAGAATCTTGACATGTAAAGTCCTTCATATAGAAATGGTCAGCAGTGCTGGTGGTGAGAGTATGAATATGAAAATAATGCGAATGGTCATCCAGCTAGAATCCCTTCCAGTAATGGATAGTATGCAACCATATAAGATAATGTAAATGTTATTAGAGGTCCCTAAACTAAACAGTTGGGCCCAATATAGACCCATGATATTTTTTTTTCTGAAAAGGAACTAATTCATGAAAGAAATAATGACTACCTAATTTCCATTCTGTGGTAGAACAAAGTGCGTAAATGAATTGTAACACTCATGGTGCCAAGCCTGCATTAAGGGAAACTGTCTTACAGCCATAAAACAGTGACCCCTAAGTTTTTGTTTATTTACTTGTCTAGTGTTTATCAGTCCTTAGATGACGTACATCCTTATACTGTGAACTCAGAAAAAGCATTTCTGAACACTCAATTCTGAGACTGCATTAGGAAGTCTGTAGAGATGTTGTACAGTTGTGAGGACCTGAGAGATGCTAATTTAGCCCAGCTGTCTGCACGCCGATGTTCAGAGACATTTAGTGAGTCCCAACAGGAGAAGCACACTTACTGTGAAGTTGATGAAGCTGAAGTTCAAGGCCCCTCATTAGCACAGTCTTTTGCAATGTGAACTCGGGAATGTGATCACATGTAGGTGTGTTTTGTGAAATTCACAAAAGTAAATGTTTTAACTGCAGTTGACTAAGATCACAATCTCTACCTGGATTTTCCCTCCATCACACTGCTCTGAGGATCAGGTGGTATTGGAGTTAGTAGAGGCATTTTGGGGCCTGCTGGGGAATTTCAGTTGGGAAAACATTTAGTTTGGATTTGGCGGGAAATATTTATGTGGTGGTAAACTTCTCCAAAGTTACTACATAAATTCTAATTTATTCTTGTGCAATGCACCAAGCATTCCACCCAAGATGTAGGACCAAGAGTCCTGTTCAAGATATAAGCATATTGTAAGGCTCCTAACTCTGAAAATATGTGGGTAGTAGAGGTGAAATAAGACTTAAAATATACAATAACAAAAGGTGACTTGTGGAAAATTATTATAGGTGTCAAAAGACAAAACTGAAAGAGGAAGAACCACTTTTAATTGATATAATTTCATAATAATAACATGCTCAATAATGCAGCATACACTAGTTTTGTAACTGTAAGTGCACCAAACTTTTAAATAAAAATTGTGTAAAAATAGAATTTATCAGTATTCTTGTCTGTAGGCATAAACCTGTGGCAGTATCACAAACAGAGGGTGAGTATATAGTGTTACATGTTTACATAGCCCTTCTATCAATAATACATATGCTCAACAAGCTTCAGGAAAGACTGAATTCTTTCCATTATATGTTTAGGAAATGATATTAAAAATCATCATATGAAAACCTGTCAAAGTGTATATTACCAAAAATGCAGTGTGTCTCAATAAAATGTATATACACTTTAACACCTGATAGTTCAATTTTGAAAATGAAATGTATTTTGATAAACTTTCTTTTTATAATTAGTCAAAGTGTGTGTATAAGAAAAAGTATTATAGAGGTAGGCGGGAGAGTTAATGGAAAAAATATTGTTTTCTAGACTTTCTGATACGTGTGATATTAACCAAACTTTTAAAATTGGTAAGTTGCATGATTTATTTTTCAATTCACTTTATCATCTAATTTTTATTTTTAATTATATGTCATTTTTCTTTAAAAATGACCTCCCCAACTGTAAAAATCTTCAGATCCCACAAAACTTAGATCTGTCCCTGAGTGCCAACTATGTATCAGATACATGCTCATTTTTAGAGATACAATAATGAGTAAGACCAAAAGCTTTCTCTCAAGGAGCATGTTTGATGGAGAAAACATGTGCAAAGAGGGTCTGAAAGGGGAAGTCTTTCTAAGGGAATATATAGAATGGACCCCCACTTGGTCTAGAAGGCCCCAGGAAGGCTACTAGAGGAGGTAACTGTCAGTATGCTCTCTTTATCTGTGACCACTGTGACTTCCACAGAAAGCCTGCAATTCTATAGCTTATGGCAGGAAACCTGAACTCCCTCACACTGTAACTCCCAAAGCACAAACACTATACACCTCAAAAGTATGCGAATACCGAGAGGGCTGGTCCCGGAAGCATTTAAACAAGGATGCAAGTGGAGTTTAGAAATGCTAAGCTTTTTGCTCTGAGAAGCCCATCGGGGGGATAAACTTCTGTATCTATCGCAGAGCACAGTACTTACTATGTGGCAGGTGGCCCAGGAATATTGAGACAGCTGTCAACATCAAGGAAAGCACCAGCCCATGAAAAGCAAGCAGATGGACTGGGACACTTCACTAGCTGCCTCCTAGAATAATAGCTGTGCGAGGCCAACGAGGCAATGTCACGCTGCCCAGGGCAGCAAAAAGCTATTACTGGATCTAAGCGCTCAATTAGGAGATGGGGTGGGGCAGTATCCTCCCCTTTCCTTTGTTTGTGTAGCTGAAGTTTTTATTAAGAACCATCACAGCAAATAAGAAAGGTGGGGGGAGGGAGATGTTTGCATTTCTCATTTTGTTACATTCTGAATATCATGATTGTAAGGGGGAAATGCCTTAGTCTTGCTGCTTCAATGAGAGCAGATGGCAACATTTTTAAGTAATGGTTATTCAGACTTCTATGGGATGCATGAAATTTTATTGTGTTATTTGTCTGGTTTTTATTTCTAGAATATGTGGAGATTGAGATCTTTCAAACACACATCTTTTAATGCTAAAATGAAGATGTGTTAAATTGATCTAAATTATTCCTTCCTTCACTTGATATGATGATGATACTTACAAAAAAATGAGTTCTTTACGAAAATATGACATTAACATCAACAATTACATACTTCTCAAATAGTACAAATTTAACCAATACCAACCAACGTATTCTGAAATGTATAAAGAGAAGGATTTCTTTAGTAAATATAGATTATAAGATGTATTCCAAAATAGTTATTTACACCAATTCAATGTGTCTTTTGTTTGCGTCAAATGCTATCTAAAATATTAAGTCATGTAGCATATTAATTTTTATTAACGGAGCTTCATAAGCATGACATAGAGAATGACTCAGAATAATAAAGTATTACTATATGAGAAACTCAGTTTCTACATCCTGTTTTTCCAAAATATTTCACCTAAGTGCATAAGCTATATACAGTATTATGTATATCTGACATACAATTTTAAAAGGATATATTC